CCCTGTAATAGGATTATAAAACTCATAAACTAAATCTAATCTACCTGGGTGATGATTGGATCCATTTTTCGTAACTTTGAGAAACACTTCGATTAAATGAAAATCACAAAATTTAGTTTCTTTGAAGTTTTTTTCTCTTTTAAATGGGTTCTTATGGGTTTAAGTTTCAAATGAACCTAAAACCCATCCTTAAAAGCTTTTATGTTTAAAAAAAGAGTAATAGAAAAAAAAAAAAATTCCACCCCGGTCACCAAGGGCCTGCGTCCCGCCTAGGCGGCTGCTCAGGGATTGCTGCCCAGTTTGACCGCCTAGGCCTGGGCGATGTGCCCAGGCCTTTTGGACCGCCTTGGCGTTGGGCGGTTCACTTTTTTTAACACTGCCAGCAACTTCTGACTTGAAATAAACATAATAATTTGTATAAGCTATAAAAATTTGGCCTACACTTTACTCGGCGGAAACTCGCCTTGCCCTAAGGGCGAGGCTGTGTTACTCGGCTCTGTCTCAGAACATAGATTAAAGAAACATAAAAAGTAAAATTTGATAGTGTTATGCTTTTAGCAGTCCCACACTTGGCAAATGAAGGCCAAAGGTTCATTCAAGTATGTCAGATATTTTCTTTGGTATACCGGTCAAAAGATGTGTGCTAAATATTTACGAAGAGATAGACCTATAAACTGACATGAAGTGCCAGAGTTTTCCTGCAAGTTTTTTTACCATTCTTCAAAAAATAAAAATACTATTCTGTTATATTTTGTTTCTGAATTCTGTGTAAGATGCTGCATGATATTCATTGTTTATCTGTCTTACGATGTGAACATATACTTGGTATCATTATCATAACAATTGCAAAGGGATAATGGAGATACCTGAGTTTGAGTAATGTTTTACGGTAATATGGTTACACATTCAAATACTTATTGCTATTCATTACGAGTACAATTGAAATCAAAATTATTCACTGTGATATTCATTTGTGTCCTGTAGTCGAGGATTTCTTGGTCCATGACCTCTATATGCTAGTTGCATTGGCAGAACGCCAAACCTCGTCAAAAGGCTTGAAAGAGGTCAGTGTTTTTGATAGTCAGATATTTTAGTGCTTGATTTTGAGTACCTTTGATTGGGCTTTTATTGTTAAAATGAGTAACAGTTATTTTGTAGCTTTTGCTTCTTCAAAATCAGTAGATACACATTAGATACCCATCCAACATTTTCTAGTTCGGCATTAACTATAGGACTGTTTTCTTCATTGCTTCAAGACTGGTGCTTGGTATCTGGTTGAGTCCAGTATTTTTCTATTGCTTGGACTAAACTGTATTTTGAATGCAGGGAATTGCACAAGTTCTTACTTTCTTAAATAATCAGCATTTTCCATGGATGAATGGGGTTGAGTTGTTGGAGAGTACTCAACATAATAAGCATTTTCTCTTGACTGGTTTTGACGGGTATTTTCATCTTGATTATTCTTCTTGGCAATAAGAAATAGTTTTCATACTAAAAAAAAAATATATTTCATTTTTGTTGCTTTTCTTTGAATACTTTTTTAAATTCATTAGTTTCTCTTTTTTTTAATTTGGAAATTATCCACACCCAGGAGATTCATTATTTGACATTCACCTATTCCCTTTTTTCTACTTTCAAAAAGCCTGTCAAGAATACATAATAACGGGGCACATATTGATAGAGGGGCAATTTCCAATTGTATCCCTTTACCAAAACCAAAGTTATTAGAAAAATTAACTCTGGGAGATATAAGTTTTTAATACCAATATCTCATTCTAAACACTTTATTAGATGTTGGTATTCACAATGCAAATATCTCACAGTTGACTTGATGAGATATTGATATCCAAAAACACCAATATCTCATGGGGTGACTTATTTGGTGAGGTATTGGTCATAAAAAATGTAAACATCTTATTGGATGTTTAGAGTGAGTTATTGGTGTTTCTGGAAACACCAAAATCTTATGAAAACGTAACACCCAAGAGATATTGGTATTCCAGAACTCTAATTCTCACTAGGTGACTTAGAACTATTGATTTCATGGGCAGTATTTTAAACCTAGGTCTTGCCCTAGGACTCAACCATTGCCTAAGCGAGTTAGCTCAATGAGTCGCTAGTCATTGCCAAGTCCCCCCTCAAGGAAACCTTACTTTTCAAAGAATATTCACTGGATATTTTGAAGACCCATGTTGCACTCGGTAGACCTGGATAGACTCAGATCATCCTGGTCTGGCGCATCCAAAACTAGCATGTGCTGGTTCTGAGCAACTTGGGAGAGTCTAAGCGAATGCATCAAGCTTTTAAACACCGATCAAGGCAATTACTTAGTGAGGCATTTAGACGTAAGAGTGATATATTAGTATTAGAGAAAACCAATATTTCATATAGGTGGTCTTCATAAAGCAATTCTTAGAACCACAGACTAGCTAGGCTCTCGAGCCCGTGTCACCCGGCTCGGGTGCGGAATAACCGGGGCCCTGATCCAAACCAACTCGGGTGGATCACGACCTGAGCTGCTGATTTTTTAGCCACTGCTAAGAAGTAATTTAATTTAGAGGGGGTGTCAAAGTGGCCCCTCTGACAATTTCTAACCCATTATGACATGTCCTTGGAGGGTGTTTTGAAATAAGACAAAAAAGGGGTGAATTGTTAAATAGTGCATCGCTTGAGGCTTGTTTGCTGAACTTTCCTCTCTCTTTCTCTAAAAAGTAGTTGGCTTTTACTATTAAATTTGTGGTAGGATTGATACTCTTCTTTGCGGTGGCCTTTGTGAGGGAAACTTGACAGAATTGGCGGGCCCGTCTTCTTCTGGTAAAACACAAGTGAGAACTTTTTCTTCTTGGAATGTATAGATTCTTCTTGATGACCTTTCCCTGTAATCTCCTTTGCAGTCAAATACTCGTGTACACTTCCCATTTTGGGTGTTCAGAGAACTTGTTTATAGCTTATCCCTGGAAAATGTTGGTTTGTGTATATCTTCATGGGTCCCCTCATGGTTAGTTTAATTTTTTCTCTGTTGTGAGGTTGTGCTTATATTCACTCTAGTCTTTATCCAGTAATTGTTTTATGTTTCAATGGGATCATCAATTCTGACATTTTCTTCTGATCATTCTTCTTAATAATGACTGTGAGAATGTTTCTAGTTTTTCAAATTGCATGCTGGTTCACCTCTGATACTTTCTCATGCAGTTCTGCCTACATGCTGCTGCACATGTTGCATACACGTACATGTGTAGTGTCTTATACTTGGATACGAGTAATTCCTTTTCCTCCAAACGCATTTCTTACAGGGTCAATCGCTTGCTGGCTAGTCCAAATAAAGGGGTAAAGTTTGTTAATTTCTCCTATTTATTGGGCTTGAGCCATATTTACTTGAAGTTTCAAGCAATATTGAAGGACTGAACCTTAAAGTTCTTTTCTTATGGGTATTGAGAGTTCTTATCTTTGTTTGCATTGATTTAATGAATGCTAGGATCTTGAAAGAACTTCAACCTCTATGCTATCTTTCTGGTTGTTTATGTCAATTGGTACAGGAGAAAGGAAGAAGCCTCGAAGGAATCATGAGTAGCATACTCAGTCACTCTGTTTTTGACATTTTCTCTATGTTCGAAACTCTTCATCAGCTAGAACTATCCTTGAGTTCTCAGGTTCTTAATTATTATGCAACCAAAATTTCTCTTATCTGCATTTTGATTAATCATGTGGTTGCAGTTCGTGAACATGTCTAACAGTTGTTTCAGGCAGAAATTCAAAATTCAAAGCTGCGGTTGCTGATTGTTGATTCCATTTCATCTCTCATAACTCCAATTCTTGGGGGCAAAGGGCCACAAGGTCTGCATCTTTGCATACTCTCTGTTGTGTCTATTACTTAATTTGCTTAATTTTGTGTACTTCGTTCAACCTTTCCATGTCATATCCATGGATTAGTACAGTCTTATTAAACTATTGATCAGTAAGCCACCCATGCATCATTTTTGCACTGTTTGAAAGAAATATATTGGTTGCAAATCTACAAATTGGCATGTGACAAAACCTTCTTTCCAATTCTGACCCAAAGCAGTTTGGAAATATAAACTGTGATCCCAGTTAGTCATGGTAAGCCTACCTGAAAGTAGGACAATGCGATCTAGCCAAATATATACAGCTAAATTTTTTCTTTTCTTTCTTTTATTCATATCGGCTAGAACACTTATAGGTGTCCAAAATTACAACTATATTCATAAAATATGCCCTAATACAATCTAGGATCTTCTTTTGCATACCATTGCAATTCTCTACAATCAAACAAAAATAAAATGCATGAAGAATCAAGAAACATGGAGCCATTAGAATTACCGAATACCTTTTCTCAGGCTACTCCCAAGGACTTTGTACACCCCACACCAGGTCTCCTCCACCAATGGCACATGGGATCCTGGTCTTAACCTTGTCTCATAATTCGGGAAGCCTCAGCAAAACCTCTTGAGAGTATGACATGAGATGGAAGCAATCTCATAGCACAATAATATAAGAACCATCGAGTCTAGGGCTCTAGGGTGTGCCACCCTCTAGTGGCTTGGGCTTGCCCCTTAGGGTTTACTTTAGGATTAAAGCAACTCAAAACCCTAACTAGAAGAAAAAATAAGAGAGAGAGAGTGGGCATACTTGCCAATGAGAGAGAGCGAGAGACCAATCCAATTTCACACAGGTAGAGAATACATCCTCATAGAGAATATTTATAGAGAGTCTGCTAGGGTTTTGCCATCATTATGAGACTTAATCTTGATCCTAGATCTTGGAGATCTGTGCGGTAAGAGATCTTGACCATTCATTCCTTAAATCAACAATCATGATTAAAGGAATGAGCTAGAACCATTATCCATCAGCTTTCATAACTCTATTCCCATTAAATATTTATGTAGAGAAAATTCTATGTATTTACAAATCTAATTTCAATGAATCTCCACACCTTCCGATTTTAAATCAATCAACCTTATTTCATAAAGCCTTCCTTTTATTTTCAGAACAAGTAGGTGACTTCTGTTATAAGCTACACACTGAAAATAAATAATGGAATATGTGGGGCATCTCACACATAGTGAGCTATGTAGGCCCCACGCTCCCACTTAATGGGCTCAGCAGTGGTGTGCCCAAATTCTTAATGGGCCCCCACACCCCAAAAAGAACTTTGGATAAATAACAGGATTTTAGAAAGCCGGTAAATATTATTAAATTATCTCTTAATTAAATAAATCCAAAAAAATAATTTTCCTTATTTAAAAATTTTCTGAATTAAATAAATCCAAAAAATTAATTGTTCCTTATTTAAAAGTCCTTTTTCACTAAAATAAAAATAGCAACAGAGATCTATAAATTCTTTTTAATCATATAAAATATAATTAAAACATAAATAAACATATTTAATAAGATTTGATGGGAATTGGATCCAAATAATTAAGAATATCACAAATATATGGAGGAATATTTTAAAAATCGCATCTCACTGTCATCTTCTCAAACTGACCCAATAGTTCCTATAATTCACAACCCTCAGTAGGGGTTCATGCTTTGGACAATCAAAATCAACTAATAAATGAAGGTGACATGATCCTAGCCCATGGATTACGGGTTCCTCCTTGAGGACAAGTCCAGACCCCATTCTAGCACCATACCTCATGGTTCCTTCCAACACAGTCTAGTATTGTAGGGAGGCATCTCTTCGGTACATATACACAACACACACCCTCACCCAGAGGGCTGCTTCCCAGACGGCTATCTAGTGTACATGTCGTGTGATGGTAATGATTTGGATTTGGCCCTTGTTCGGCCAACCATCGCACACGGGGGTCACATTCAGTCCCCTGGCCAATCACTTGGGGCACAAGTCCGACCTCATAAAGGAATGACCACACATTAAAACTCTTATCGGTTGTGCACAAATACCTAGGGCTATGGGTTTTTAGGCATCAACCTGAGCCATAGTCCGTTAAAACTCAGGTGAGTCACTGCGTCAACGATGCCTCACAGTCCACCTTGGACCATGTCACATAGTCCATTCGGACTATGCTCCCTTTGGATCTATTACATCACTATAGTCATAGTCTTACATGCTCTCAAAGGCCTTAGATGCTCTAACGTCACAAGGGAAAGGCCTTAGATGCTCTAACGTCAAAAGGGAAAGGCCTTACATGCTCTAACGTCACAAGGGAAAGGCCTTACATGCTCTAACGTCACAAGGGAAAGGCCTTACATGCTCTAACATCACAAGGGAAAGGCCTTACATGCTCTAACGTCACAAGTGAATTGTGAAAATTGCTAATTTTAATCCATAATAGTCAAGCAATGTAAATACTTATGGAAAATATAAATCCCATAAAAGCATGCATCGCAAACACGATTAAGTGCTCACACTTACTCGAATGCAAAGATTCACCACCTTGGTGCTTAAAGACAGGCACCTATCCAGATTGCAATAGCATAATTTAACCCGAAGTTTGAAAGTGCACATAGGTTTTGGTCATCATGTGGCTGGGGCTCCTCGTACAGCTGTCAATTAAGTTTAATCCAACTCACAAAGTTGGAGATATTTTATTGGTGAATGCACACCTAATTAGGGGTATAAAGTGGCACATGGAGGTGCCACTTCAAACATAAATGGCTCATCACCCAGCACGGCCATAGTTCGTTGCAGCATCCACACAAGGCCTAAGCATGGAGGATGACATGATAATTGACATAACACCATGATGGAATCTTAAAGAAGGATCCATTTCTACAACGTTGATTCTGATAGTTTGATAACAAATTACTGTTTGCATTGATTTACTCGATGTTCTTGGATGAAGCAATGAAATATGGAAAAGGTGAAATCTCTTAAAAAAAATGCAAAGCTGAATTTGACCGATTCACTCTGCGTAGATTAACTAAACACAAAAAGCCTTGAACTGGCAGGCGACCATGTTTTTCACAGGATTTATCGTTACTCATGTCAGCATTCTCACTTTTGATATTTCCAGGTGTTGTCACAAAAAACCTTCCCCAATTGAAAGGACACCCGCTACTGACACTTGAGTTCCTTTAGCTATCATATACCATTGTAGACATCTAATTTTGTGCTTCTTAGTCCGTAGGTTATTTTGATATGAGTTAGTTTCTTAGGTCCCATCCTTAGTTAGCTAGAATCATTTAGATACTCCCCAGATGCTTCTTTCAGTCATTTATGCATCTGAATGCCTCCAACCTGCATGCCGTTGTAGTTTCCCCTGGTATGGTATTTGGCCGACATGTCTATGAATATCTCCTAAATCTGTGCCTCGAAGTGTGACAAAGTTTTGATGAACTGTAAATAAGTTTCCATGCCTCCCAATTATCTTGTGTTGTGATAGCCTCATGCATGCCATTTCCTAGTTTTAGCTCTTAGAATCTGATTTAATGCTTATGTTGGCACACTAAAGTTAGTGCTTGAGGAAGGTCGATTGGCAGGATAATACATTGCTTGGCTCCCTTTAACCATGTATACCTCTTGAGCTCTTGCATTAAATATTATAGACTCGTTCTCGCCTGAATTGACTTGGCTCTGGATTGATTGTAAGTCTTGGTTGAGTCTTGTTGAGTCTTATTGAGTCTAAGTTCTTACCAGAAACTTTTGGATAAGTCAAAAGAGTCCAAGTTGATTTGGATATGGGATCAGGCCAAATTTTGGGCTGAGACTGAGATTTTTGACATTAACTACATATTGGAAATCCTAAATTCCCTCTATGCATCACCCATGGAGCGTAAGTATAGTCATGCCCACTGATCATGCATGGCAGTTGGAACTCCATAACCAGGTTGGCTGTTCTGGATGAGAAGAATCATGTATGTAGCTTGCTCCGACGCATCATGGGACTGTGATCCCGTGTACCATAGTATCGTGATCCCAGAGGTCATGTGTGATATGCCCAACTCCTTTCTTTGATTGATATGGTCTGACGTTCTCGACTATCGGTTTGCTCGCACAACTCTACTTATATATAGATAGGCTTAGCGATTCATCTTGATATCTTGATAGGGTTTTTACTCTACTCGTTGAGACTCATTGGGACTGATATCAGATACAACAACAGTACCACTTGATGTTCCTTGTTTCATCAGAGGTGCATTCAAACAGATCCTTTTCTTTGCGCTCTTCTTTTTCAAACTGCTTTCCGCATGTTCTCCTCCAGAACAAGGTCTGATGCATTTCATGAGATAAGGTTGGTTCAGTCTGGAAAGATAGAGTTGGTGAATCAACAATTCCCAAAAGATATAGATTTCGTGAATCCACAACACAATTACGCAGATATGGTTTTTCAATTGAGACTGAGAAGATAAATGTACATTTTCTGATCTACAGCTTGAGCTTGAGCTCGAGCCTGAGACTGAGCTTGCGAGAAGCCGAGAACAAAGTTAGACACAGTTTGTTGGATTGAACAGCTTGAGCTGGTGACTGATCTTGAGCTTGAGACTGAGACTGAGACTGAGAAGACATATACTAAGATGAGGCATTGTAGGCTCTAGAGCTTACCTGGCATACGGACTGAAGAGCACTTCCGATCGGCTAACTGTCGAGGTGAGCCTCTTTAGCTTAGCCTTTGGGATGTGCTATTCACTGATCAGTATCATCGTATTCAACAAAGGAATCAGATCTTGACTTTTCAACAGAGGAATCCGGATCTAAACTTGCTCATAGATCAGGGCATCAGGTTTCCCCTCAAGATATGACGTTGATCATATGTCAAGGCTAGGTACTGCTCCTTGTGCCGAGTGCGAAAGATAAGAGTTGCCGAATCCACTGACCGAGAAGAAAAAAAGAGAGATTGATTTTGAAAAGG